GATTCGCCCCTGGCCCCGGACTCGGCTCCGACGCCGGCCTCGACTCCAGCCCCAGCCCCTGCCCCGGCCCAGGTTCCGGCCCTATCCCCGTCCCTAGCCTCTGCCCCTGAGGAGGCCGAAAGCAGTAAGTGCAGGAGGCCCACATCTTTCTCCTGCAGGAGAAACGAGACAGGGCGCCTTGCTGGGGAGTAGAGGTGGCCCTTCTTCACCGGGATGGCTTTATGGGTAAATGCAGGTTTAGAGAGATGGAGGGAGGGGTAGGATGGAGGGACCCGTGTAGCAGGTAAATCGGGTACAGAATGGAAGAAATAATTTTTATTATAAAGAGGACATCATGGTGAAAGATGTGTGGAGGCCGGGGTACTGCAGATAGAAGGAAGTAATGAGGTTAACGGCTTCGTCGTTAAAAGGCATGTTTTTCTGGTACGAAATTAGGAAGTTACACGTATTGGTCATTGGGTAATTTCCCCCGCAACCAGGTCTAACATGGTTAAAAGTAAGTCCTTTCAAATGTGACATAGTAACCGAGGCAACTTGTTCGTGTCAGTAGATCTTAGCTCCGGATTGAGAAACCGTTATCGTCAACTAGCTTTTCTGCCTGAACATACATAGAAATGATTTTTTCTTATTTCATTTTTAGCGACTTTCTCCAAAAGGAATTCGAGGTTGATGAATAGTTCAGGAAAGAGGCGACTAAATAAGGGATGTCTTCCGCCACCATAAAATACCAATTGAGTTTTGCACTCTATTCCATCAGAAGTCCACTGTTGAAAATCAATAGCCTATATTATTGTGCTTCTGAATATACTTGCATGTTGTCTTAAGTGATGGTTTGTTGGACTCATATCAGTTTAAAAGACTGATGAGTTAAGCTTTCTTAAGGGTCTTCTAAACATTTTCAGGTCTTTGGCATAGGGCAACGGTGTTAGGGAGACGGAAAAGGGAAAATGAGAAATCAGCCTACAAGGGAGATGGCCACCGCACAATCTCTCCTTTTCCCTCTGGGGATTTTGGGCAAACACAAGGAGCCTGACGTGACTTTCAAGCTGCCCAGTTGTCGCAAATATCTTCTTTTATTTTTTATATTTATATTCAGGATTCTCGGAAACCTTGAGGTGCGACGTAACTAGTAGCGGCTTATGGTTCGGGGACGAGCGTCCTACGCACAGAGAGAGACCTACACAATTCTGCGGTTTACATTCATTTATTAGCAAGCAGGTACACTCACAGATTTAGCAATCGACGAGGGCGCAGCTCGTTATCATAGGCTGGCAGCTAGGAGGTCGTGACACGGGTCTGGACACTCGAGAACCGAGGGGACACCAAGGCGAACTCAAGGCTGATCGAGCGTAGAGTGGTGAAACGGCGAGCACTGATGGCTGGGCAGGAACTAGTGTATGTTGTTATCTGCCGATGCAGCGAGAATCTGGTCGGCGAGGATGGCCCTTCGGCAAGCCAGGCAGTGATTTGGGACTGCAGCGGTTGTCAGTGCTTGTCAGTGCGAATGGAGCAGCGACTTGGGCTGCGAGGAGCAGCTCTCGAAGTGCTCGAATGGAGCAGCGACTTGGGCTGCGAGGAGCAGCTCTCGAAGTGCTCGTGCGGCAGCGAGTATCGGTTCTGATGAGCCGATGAGCGTTCAGAAAGGCCTCGATATTATGGGCCATTTCGGGTGTGTCTCTAACGTGTTTATCTCAGTCCGTGTCAGCACATCATATCTTAGGCTGACAGCTTTACAGGTGTCTATCTCAAGCTGGAGACAAGGAGATATCCTTCCTAACATATTTTTGGCAAGCATCTTGCAAGCAGTACAGAATGGAGTAACATATGTCAAGCAATGCAAAATGGAGTATCAAACATTGTGATCAAAGTGTGGTAGCATAACACCAGTCCAGGTCTTGAACCACTATCTGTCCTGTAGGAATCCAGTATCTTAACAGTCATACCACCTGCTGGCCCCTGATCTGAACTTTTTAAAAAGTAAGGTTTAAGGAAAACTTAACAATTAAGTCCTTTTTTTTTTTTTTTTTGAGGAGGGTTTTTTTTTTTTTTTTTTTTTGCTATAGGGCGCGTGTGCGCTCCAGAAAAACAGAGACAGAGAGACAGAAAGTGAGAAATCACCCCCCAGGGGGGATGGCCACGCTGCAATCCCTTTTCCTCCATTCTCCTCTCAGAATCTTGGGCACACACGTGCCTGGGGTGAGTTTTAAGCCACCTGGTCCGGGATGCGAACCGCAGTCGACTATGTGGGAGTCCAGCAACACACCCATTACGCTAACTGCTGGTCACTAATGATTAAGTCCTTTTTAACAAATTATTTTGTGGTCCATAAATTGACCTTTTTCTCTTTCTGATTTATTGTTGACCTATCTTAAATTCATTCATTATTTTTCCTACTTATGGGCCAGTTTTCAGTTTACTGTTTATGAAGTACTTGGACAGTTACATTCTTGTAGAATTATTTTGCAGTGTTAAAGCAACATACAAATTGTTAACGGTAAATTTAAGAATAGGACTGAACTTGTCTGCTACAAGTGTGTCCCCTCCTCCTCATGTAATTACAGAGTCTGTAGGTGCCAAATCAGGTCAGTTATTCCATTACCTACAGCTACCGAGGATGAAGAAAGAACAGCTTGGGTGCTCCCTATCTCCTTTCATGGCCAGGTTGTATCTGTTTATATCAACCAGACATGGTGCAGCAGCTTTAGGGAATGCATGCTTTCTCCCATTCCCCACCATTAAAATATCCATGGTTTAGAAAAAGTTAACTCATTTATTCCAAAATTTACGAATATATCATTTGAAAATTGTGTACTGCTGTGGAAACCTGAGGCAAATATGTAATGATCGAGCTATCTGAAATTCGTTAGAACTAAAACAATAATCACATTTTAAAAATTATTTTTAGATGGTCTAACTAGTTCTTTGAAGTCAGTCTTGACTAGGCCAGATGAAGATGGCCTATCTGGAATAGAATTGAAAATTGAGGAAAAAGTAACAGAAGAAACTACTAAAGTACCTACTAGCATCTTGGACTCACCTGATTTAATAAGAGGTTTGCCTGTTGACTTTTAGATTATTAGTGTATTACAAAAAGCAGGTTACGTGTTTTAAATACATGTTGTCTGATAATCTAATCTTGAACCAGAAAGTGATTTCAAAGATGTTTGTAAATATATTTTTTGTCAGATCGTCAACTTTCTTTTAATAGTGGATCACAGGATTTTCAGTTTTCTAACTTAACAGTCTCTTTTTTTCTTATTTTGTGCTATTTAGTACAATAATTTTAATAATCACATTATTATGCAGTGCTGTCTGTCTTGTTTCACATACACACCTTTGAACTATGGAAGCATGTATGGTTACAAATTAGGTAGGTTTGTACACAGGGATTAATTTTCTTAATATTACTGTGTGACCTAGCAAATAAAAGTTTTTCATTAAAGAAATTTAGGATTGGCCTTATAACCAATTGATTAAAGACACTGAATCCCACATGGCAGGCCACATGGTTCGAATCCCAACTCCAGTGGGATGGGATTTTGGGCATGTGGACCTGCATGCCCAAAATCTCAACGGGAGAAATGGAGGAAAGGGATTCCCCTGGCCTGACCACGATTTATTGGGAGATGCTTTCTCTTTCTCTCGCTCTGTGTCTCTGTCTCTCTTTGACAAGTGCATGTACCCACTAGCAGTTAATTTTTTTTTTTTTTTTTTTTTTTTTGGTGGGGCCAGCATAGTTAAGGCAGCTGGATTCCACGTGGTTGACCTGAGTGGTTCAAATCCCAAATGCAAGCACCTTAAAAAACATGCCAGCTGTGTGCTTACTCATGCCTGCTCCCAATTCCCAGAGCAGAATGGAGGAGAGGGGATTCCGGCATTGCCATCCTGCCAGGGCTGCTTTCCCTTTCTCTGTCTCTCTCTCCTGCAATCATACATACCCTGTAATAAAATGAACAAGAAAGTTATTTTTGCTGTTTACAGAAATCATTATAAGCCATTTGAACAATACTTAATTTAGAAGTTAATAATGTTTGTTGCTCTCTGTTTTTCATTTAAAAATAAGATGAAAAAAAATTTTAATAAATTTGATCAGGGATGTCTGATAATGCTGGATTGTATTCCCAAATTATTAACATAATATGCTATTGCATCCAGAAAAACTATTAACTTTTAAAAATTATATAACGAACCTTAATGCCTATGGTGTACACATGGTATATAGCCATCAAAAGATCGATAATGCAGAATTTCTGCTTTCTTATTGCTTATTTATGGGGGAGAGAAAAAAGTACACAAATTATACAAACGGATGAACAAATGAACTAAGGGAGAAATAGGCTTAGAGATGGGACCAGCAGGTGGCGTTGTGGTTAAGGCGCTGGACACTCCCACATGGCTGTCTAGGGTTCAAGTCCTGGACCTGGTGGCTTGCTCTCTCACTTTTCCCCTCTCCTTTTCCCTCTGCTTCTCTCTGGTCAAATTAAAATAAATTAACGAATAGATAAGTTAAATAATTCCTTAAAAAACAAAAAGAAATAGGCTCAGAGAGAAATAGGCAGAAAGGTGGCAGTGTCATGAATTTTAAGGGCCAGCAGGCTTATATCACTAGACTCCCACATGGCTGACCACAGTTCAAGTCCCAGGCCTGGTGACTTGAAAATCATGCCAAGCACATGTGCGTGCATGCCCAGGATTCCAGGAGGAGAATAGAGGAGATAGGGATTGGAGCGTGGCCATCCTCCCTGGGGAGTGATCTCTCACTTTCCCTCTCACTATGTCTTTTTCCCAGGCAAGTGTACACGCCCTGAGGCAAAAAACTCTTTAAAAAAAATAGAATTTAAAAGTGTTTACATTTTAAATTGTATAACCTTACAATATAAGCTTGCTTGTTCATATCATCTTGTCTTTTTTTTTTTTTTTTTTTTTTTTTTTTTTTTTTTTTTTTTTTTTTTTTTTTTTTTGCTAAAGCATGCATATTCTCACCAGAGATAAACAGGGAGAGGAGAAAGCACCCTTCTTGGGAAATGGTCATACCTGCAGTAACGTCTCCTCCATCTCTTCCTCCCTTTAGGGATTTGGGCATGCGTGTGCACACACCTGGCAGTTTCCTCAGGCCGCTGGGTCCAGGACTCAACTGTGCAGTCAGCCATGTGATACCAGGCTGCCTTAAGCACCAGTCTGCAGAGCTAACCCTGTCCCATCTTCTGTTTCCTTGGTTATCTTTACCTATCAGCACCTCTTTACGTATTCAAGTGTGCACTGTGTAAATGTTCCTTTAGGGATACACTTATGTTCAGGTATCTGCATATTTGGGAGAAAAGAAAGAAAAGGCAAGTTATGATGCCATGTATCTCCTTTATACTGCCAAACTCATTGAGGAATTAATAATCTACATTGGCTTTCCATTTCTTTTTCTCTTCCAATCCAGTTTCTATTCCCAAACACTTCGCTGAACTTGCTTTTTGTTTAATTCCTCTTGTTATTATTATTTTTTAATTTGTCCAGAGAAAGAGAAAGCGAGAAAGCAAGGTACCAGGTCCAGGACGGGAACCACTGTGGGCCATGTGGGAATCCAGTGCTTTAAACCCCCATGTACCTGCTGGCCCCTGAACTTGCTTTCTTAAGAATCACATGAGACTTGTTACACATTAAGCTCAGTAGACTTTTTCTTGATCTCGACATCTGTTTATGATACTTAGTTTTGAGCTTTTCTCTTTTATAGACTCTTCTCCCTTGGCTTCTACATGGTCTTGATTCTCCTTACCATTTATTCTTTCTGAATCGGCCTTCCTGATTTATTATTACTCAACTTCTCTTACAAACTCTTACATATAGCTTCTACTCACAGAATTTAAATTTAAAACCTGAAGACTTAAATACCTGATTCCCAGACCATACCATCTGTGTTAATCGGCAGTGGGTTCGGCAGCACTGGGGAATGCATTCCCCCACTCCTTCTCAAGAGTATCTTAAACATGTCTGGGAAAGACTAATTCATATATTCCAAAATTTACAAGTATTTAATTTAAAGAGCATATAGTGTTTGAGAAACCTGAAAACGAATTAGTGTGAAACTTCAAGTTCATTAGAATTAAAATATATATAACTCAGTTTTGTTGCTGCTAGAGAGTACGTGCCCTTGCCTGAGAAAGAAAAGGACAAGAGAACACTCCTCGTGGGGAATGGTCACAAAGCAATTCCTCCATTTCTCCCACCTTCGGGATTTGGGGCATGTTTCTCAAGCCACAAGGTCTAGTACTCAAACGGTGTGGCTAGCCATGTGGGATCCAGCTGATTTAACCACCAGACCACAGAGCCAGCCCGGTAATCACAATTTTAAATTAATTTTAGATGATCTAATTTTATTTTTTGAGAGAGAGAGAGAGATTTTTGCTGGTGGGCACATGTGCGCCCCAGAGACAGAAAGTGAGAAATCATCCCTCAGGGGGGATGGCCATGCCACAACCCCTTCTCCTCCATTCTTCTCCCAGGATTTTGGGTACATATGCACACATGCCCAGTGTGAGTTTCAGTCCACTGGATCTGGGACTTAAACCATAGTTGTCCATGTGGGATTACAGTGATGTAACCATTACACCATCTGCTGGTCCCTTTTTTTTCTTAAATCAGATGACATGCGTGCCCACTAAGGAGAGGGAGAGAAAGCAACCCCAGATGGACTGTGGCCACCCCACAACCCTCTTTCTTCTGTTCCTCCCTCCTCTGAGGAGTTTGGGAAAGTGTACACTGGGGCCAGCGTTTGAACTGCAGCCAGCTATGTGGGATCTGACTCCCTCAGCCACAGAGAGATGGGGCTGGCCCAGGTTGGTCATTTCAAATCAGTCATAAGTACATTTGGCTGGATCTTGGCTAGTCACTGCTTTTTCAGAATATTTTTTTCTTCATCTTTACTCAAGTACATAATTTCAACTAATATATATTTTTATATCTCCAGAATCCCTCCTGAACTCCAAAAATAAAATTTTAACTGCCTCCTGAATATTATAATCTAAATATTTCACCAGTGGTAGATCAGACACATTATGTCAAAAATTAAATTTCCTTTTCTCTTTTTCTCTTCTGCCAAAAGGGTCTCCTTTTTCTCCTTTAGTTAATGGTACCATCATTCTCGACTATGTAAGCTCAGATTTTTAAATTCATTATAGATTTTGTCTTCACCCTTAACTTCTTACATCCTAAGTTCTATAGATTCTTTGTTTAGCCTTCTATTTCTGTACGTTTTCATTACTGATGTTCTCGCTTCCTTTTTTTTTTTTTTTTTTGAGAGAGAGAGAAATTTTTCCTACAAGGTGCATGCTCTTGCCGGAGAGATAGAGACACAGAGACAGAAAGAGAGAAATTCCCTCCCCCCACTGCAGGGTGAATGGCCATGCCACAATCCCTTGTCCTCCATCCTCTGGGGATTTTGGCCATGTGTGCACACCCCCCTGGCATTAGTTATAGTCCGCCAGGCCCAGACTTGAAGCACAGTCAACTATGTGGGAGTCTAGCCATTTGCTGGTCCCCTTGCTTCTGTTATTAATTCTTGGTACTACTGCCAAAGATAACCTCCTGAAACTTGTTTAAATTTTATTTACTTCCTCAAAACCCTGGAAGGACTTAAAATTGCCTGCAGAATAAAGTCCAAACTTTCTTGCATAGAATTTCTGCCTTCCATTACCTGGACTACATTTTTTGCTACATCTACCCACACCATCCCTCCAAACATTACATTTTAGGCAATATAGGGTAAGGACAACCTCATGTTAAGATTTTTTGGTCATAGGGCAAGTTCCCTTGCAAAGAAAGAGAAAGTGACAATCCCAGGAGGGATTGTCATACTGCAATCCCTTTTCTAATCTTCTCAAGATTTTGAGCACTCACACACATGCATCTGGCATGATTTTCAAGCCACCCTGTCCAAGACTCAAACCACAGAGTCAACTATGTGGGATCCAACACCTTAACTACCATACTACACGTACCTTTTTTCATGAGGTTACTTTCATTTACAAAGCCAGTCTCCACCTCTTTACTGATAGAAATTCTATTGATAACCTAAAATCCCAGTCAAAAGCTACTTCTTTATTAAAGGTATTCTCAGAGTCACTTGTTAGAATTGATTACTGGCTCCTCTTGGAGCTGGCTCCGTGACCTGGTAGTTAAGGCAGCCAGATCCCACATGACCAACCACAAATTTTGAATCTGGGTCCAGCAGTTTGAAAAACATACTGGGCACATGTGCATGTATGCCCCATATCCAAAAAGTAGAAGAGGTGAAAGAGAAGGGATGGTAGCATGACCATTCTCCATAGGGGGTGCTTTCTCCTCTCCCTCTCTCTGTCTCTGTCTCTCTCTCTCTCTCTTTCTCTTTGGCAAGCACCTGCACTCTCTAGTTTAAAAAGAAAAAAAAAAAAGGAACCCCCCCTCCTCTTTATGACTCATTGTATTACCTTTACCTCTAGTATTCATTTCATCCTATTTGTATAGAAGTTAGCATATTCATTTCTTCCGCCTGATTAGAAGTTCTTTGAAGACAGGAAATAATGTCCTTTTTTTTTTTTAATAATTACCTTATTAAAGTTTGCTATTTTTTCAGTTTTGCTATAGGGCACACGTGCTTACCAGAGAGAGACAGAGAGAGAGAGAAAGCAGGTTGCAAGGTCTGGGACTCGAAGTTGGCCATGTGGGAATCCAATGCTGAACTACCATGCCCCCTGCTGACCCCAGGAAGCATGTCTTATATTGCTTCAGTATTTTGTACAGTGTAGATTTTGTACAATTTTTGTAGAATTAAACTAGTTAATTAGATAAAATTTCAAAGCTGACAAGTTATACAATGATGCTTGTTCCCCAACTTTTAGCCTTCTGTGGCACGCTTGTCACTTTGTAAACTGAGTTGTGACAGGATTCCACATCTAGATACTAAGATACTATACTATAGGAAATCATGTTAACGTCTATAGGATGTGATCCAATAAAAATAGAACAAGAGTACAAATTATTAAAGCATAATTTTCTCTTAAAATTTCCTTTCAGAAAGACACATCTCAATTCAAAGGCAGCTTGCTGACCTTGAGAAGTTAGCTTTTGTAAATGAAGAGGATTTTGACCTTACCAGTTCATTGAATTCAGACAATCTTGATACAGGTATTTTCATGTTTTGGGTTTTTGTGTTTGCTTTTACTTCTTTTTATTTTTTAGGTTTTGCACTCACTGGAGAGAGACAAGGAGAGATAAAGTGAGAAATCGCCCACCAGCAGAATGGCCATGCCACAGTCTCCTCTCCTTCATTCACCCTTTGGGATTTGGGGCATGCACACATACATGCCTGGTATGATTTTCAAGCTGCTGTGTCCAGGACTCAAACATGAATGGCCATGCAGGAGTCCAGCACCTTAACCACCATGCTACCTGCTTTTATTTCTTAATTTCTAGTGCTTTGTCTTCTGTCAATTCATGAAAACAGTTTGTTAAGACTAGATTTGTCTTTTCTTGTTGAACTAGAACAGTAGTAGTAAAATGAATTTTATTTTATTTTATTTTACTTATCCATTCATTTATTTTAATTTGCCCAGAAAGACACACACAGAGAGAGAGGGAAAGTGAGAAAGCAAACCACCAGGTCCAGGACTTGAACCATGGTCGGCCATTTGTGAGTATCCAGCGCCTTAACCACCATGCCACCTGTTGGTCCCAAAATAAATTTTATTCAGCAACTTGACAGTCTTCTTTGTGCAAAGGAAGGGAGGCAGCACCCTTTCCCACAATGAGGCATGGTCATATTACAGTCCCATCTCTTCCATTTCTTCATTCTGTTGGGACTTTAGGCATGCAGGCACACATGCCAGCTTGTTTTTCAAGCTGCCAGGGTTGGGATTCAAATCGTACATTCAGCCATGTGGGATCCGGCTTCCTCACTTGGTAGGTTTCAGGACCGGCCCAGGAATATGGTAATAAAGAAGGGCCAGCAGGTGGAGTGGTGGTTAAGTGCACTGGACTCTCACATGGTTGACCTCAGCTCAAGTCCTGGACCTGGTTGCTTGCTTTATCACTTTCCATCTCTCTCTCTCTCTCTCTGTCCCCATCTGTTCAAATTAAAATAAATAAAGTTAAATGAAATAATTATAAAAAAAGAAGTCAGCAACCGTATTTTAAAAAAAAAGAACTTATGAATTTAATAGTATGAATTAATGGTTTTAACCATACCCCCAGTCTCAGAATAACAATTATATTTGACCCCATCTACCCCTTCTACTTTCTTTTTCCATGTTTCTAACAACACATGCTGACTGTTTTAGTTGCTGTTAGAAAAGTAGAGGAACACCACAGCAGATACTTAAGGTCTCTGTCCAGTCCCTGTCCCTGTGCAATGTGATAATTGCTGACCTTTCCCTTGTCCAAGGTACAGAATGATGCTCTTTATGGCAGTTTGTCTAGCTGTAAGGATATAGTTTTTCACTTCCTTAATCTCTGTGTTCTCAAAGGCATCAAAGGCATCAGGTAGCCACTGAGAGGAGAGTTTAAAAAAAAAACACCGATTATATGCTGCATCAATTATTGTGAACTGCCTACTTCTGGGTCAGGAGTAATGATTTTTCCCTAACATCAAGAAAGATGTTTTCTAAGAAATGGGAGAGGAGCATAGGGAAGCCACTTTACTTCTTTTGGAGTTGGATCCAGGCTTTAATACCTAATATAGTCTGTATTATTGATTCTTTCTTCTTTTTAAGGAAACAAACAGGCTTGTCCATTGTGCCCTAAAGAAAAATTCCGAGCTTGTAATAGCCATAAGCTTCGTCGTCACCTTCAAAATTTACACTGGAAAGTCTCAGTTGAATTTGAAGGTTAGTATTTTCATTCTTGCTTAAATGTATATACCTGAAATTCAACATTTGATACCAGTTTGGAAATTTTATTGTGTGCATAATCTTTTTTTCCCCATAGCCATCTTTACTATTGATTGATTGATTGATTTTTGCCATAGGGCACATGCTCTCAACACAGAGAGGGAAAGTGAGAAATCAGCCCCCACCCAGGGGAATGGCGATGCCATAGTTTCTTCTCCTGCATTCTCCTCTCAGGATTTTGGGCACACATGCACACATACCCAGTGTGATTTTCAAGCTGCCAGGAGTATAATGAAGTATTTTCAGTTTAAAGTAATAAGAAATTTAATACTTCTCCTTTTAATGTATTTAGTAAAAGACCATATAGTGGGCCAGCAGGTGACATGGTGATTAAGGTGCTAGACTCCCTCATGGCCAATTGTGGTTTGAGGGTTGGACACAGCAGCTTGAAAATCACACTGGGGGTGTGTGTGTACATGCCCAAAATCCCAGGAAGAGAATGGAGAAGAGTGGATTGTGGCATGGCCATTCCCCCAGAGGATGAATTCTCACTTTCCCTCTCATTTTCTCTGTCTCTCTCTGGCGAGTGCACATGCCCCATGACAAAAATCTAAAATAAAGAAACAAACCAAAAAAAACATATAGCTTCATAGGTAGTAGATACATAAGAAACAAGTAGTTTAGTTCAGCAAACATTGTTTTTGTTTTTTAATTTTTGCCAGAGGGTACATGCGCTCACCAAAGAGAGCGAGAGAGAGAGAGAGAAAGCACCCCCCATGGGGGATAGTCACTCTATAATCCCTTCTCTTCCATCTCCCTCCTTTCAGGATTTTGGAAATACACACACATGTGTTTGGTGTATTTTTCGGGCCTCTGGATCCTGGACTCTAACCTCATAGTCAGCCCTGTGAGATACAGACACCTTAATCACCATGATATTTCTTGATTTACTCACGGGTATGAATTCTCTTATGTACTTAAGCTGTTGGGTTCTTTGACACATTAGCGATTTGATAGTTGGTGAAGATATGATAGTTTTTGTTTTAGTGAGCAGGCTTCAAAGTAGTAGGCAAATGCGACAGAAGTAGAAGCAAGAAGATCTGCTGAAGGAATGGATGTGAGATATGAGGGAAAG